GCAGAGTATCAGTTCACTGTTGACTCAGCAAACCATCGATTTGTTACGACGCTGAAGTTGGCTGTGTTATAAAGAATCTTTAGACCCTCTGGAATAATTCAGTCCAGATTTGATGAGTCTAGGTATAGTGGTTTCAGATCAGGACCTGGTCTAATGTGGTCTACATGTGAAAAAAGCACTGAAATCTCCCTTTTTGTATTTTCCACAAATAGAATAAAGGTTTCACAAATCTGAAACTGTGTTATAAAGAATCTTTAGGCCCTCTGGGATAATCCAGTCCAGATTTGATGAGTGTAGGTCTAGTGGTTTTAGATCAGGACCTGGTCTAATGTGGTCTACATGTGAAAAAGCACTGAAATCTCACTTTTTGTATTTTCACAAATAGAATTAACGTTTCACAAATCTCAAACTGTGTTATAAAGAATCTTTAGGCCCTCTGGGATAATCCAGTCCAGATTTGATGAGTCTAGGTATAGTGGTTTTAGATCAGGACCTGGTCTAATGTGGTCAGGATGCGAAAAAAGCACTGAAATCTCCCTTGTTTGTATTTTCACAAATAGAATAAAGGTTTCACAAATCTGAAATTGTGTTATAAAGAATCTTTAGACTCTGTGGGATAATCCAGTCCAGATTTGATGAGTGTAGGTCTAGTGGTTTTAGATCAGGACCTGGTCTAATGTGGTCTACATGTAAAAAAAAAAAAAGCACTGAAATCTCCCTTGTTTGTATTTTCACAAATAGAATAAAGGTTTCACAAATCTCAAACTGGGTTATTTAAACTCTCTGGGATAATCCAATCCAAATAAATCGGCTATGCAGCGATTTAAGGCGAGACACGGCAGGCAAAAACATCGTTTTTCAAGTACTGGTCAATTTTGAGATTGTGTGCTATTTTGATTCTATAACATGTTTTCTTTCAGGCTTTTGGAAGGAAAACGTACAAAATACACATTTAAGTGTTTATTTTTATTATAGTTTCTCTATTCTTTCACACACACATACGGGTATTGGGCCGAGGGCGACACCGTACTTCCGGTATCCGCCGTTTTACGCGAGGTGCAAGCAGGCCAAGGGTTTAGCTGTACACCGTCTAGGTGTTGCTAAGCTTCCTGTACTGAATATCATCGTCTTTTGCCTTAATCAATATCTAGTCAACTCTAAAATACCACATATATGCAATGGCATGATAATATTATTGTGACAAGTGGGGTATTCACCTGGTGTTTCCAGAAATTAGACGTGGATGCAGCCAAAATCGACGCAGTCTGTAAAGGCAATCCGACAACCCACACAGCTCTAGTTTACGCTGGTAACGACCTAGAGCACACCCCTCAAGTCCAGAGATGTAATCCGAAGACATGCAGCGATTTCTTCGGTCGTTAATTCAGAAAAAAAAAACTAGTGCGCTCTGCCTTGCTACGTTAGCTAGCTGTTTATATTTGCACTTCCAGGATATTTGCACCTCCATGAAAATGGCGTATTTATATATATATATATATGGCGCGTGTTGCATTGTGGGTAGCTCATGACGTCACTGTGTGTGAAAGAATTTGCGTCTGTAGATTTCTCCTAAATTCACCAAAAGTTAGCATTCTAACGTAACATAAAGTACGGCGACCGCTGTGTGCACCATGTCAACAGAGATATCGTTGGAAAGCTGTGTCTCTCCTGCACAATCTCATCAGATCCAAATATGGTCATTTCCTTTGTATCAGCAACCAATCGTGAAAGCACAAAGGGGTCTTAAACCAAGAAACAAAATCTCATTGGCTGGTGTCAATTTCTGACAACGTGATTCGTTCAGATGCGTCACGTGGTGTGCTAAAACACTTCCTGGTTAGCTTTCCGCTAGAATTGAAATCTCAAAATGGCAAAAGAACGGCGAAAAAAAACGTTCACAGAGAAGACGACAACAATTGTCACTTGCACGAAGCAAGATTATACAAAAAACAAATGACCCCGAACATGAAATACCTTCACGGAGTGCGTCGATGCGCAAGCTATCATCCAAAGAACAGGAGGGTTTAGCTAGTGCCTCACTGCAATCTTTAAAGGTCGTTTTCTCAAAATGAGTTTTTTCTCCTACTCTGAGTTCGAAATGTCAACTTCAGTAGCATGTAGATACACCAAACCTTCCAGTTATATTCCTATCAATATTATGAAGGCTTTTACAGAAGGGTTTGCTCATATATAATTCATAGCCTGAATTATACAACATTGTACACCTAAAAACATGGCGAAAATGGATATTTTAGGGCTGTTGACAGTATTTTCTGATTTATGGAGTGATAAAAAGAGATATCCAATATCCCTTCTGTAAAAGCCTTAGATACTAATATGACTACAAAATGAAACAAGAATTTTGAACCTGGCTTTATCCAAAGTTCAGATTTCGATTCCTGAAATGTGTTAAAATGTGTGCATATTTAATGAGATAATGGATCATTTGCATATTTAAACATGCTATTTCAGAAAACTTGTAATACAAAAAACAATTGCCTTATTGTAAGTAATTAACTGGAGAAATCTCTAGCTGATACCTTTAAGTTAAAACAATTACCCTATTCACCTGGGGTGTCTCGCCTTAAGAGGTTCAAACACGGAGGATTGTTCGCTCAGCTCTGTAAATTAAATGTCCCTTAACTTTCCCCTTAACTGCCGAATCGGATGCTCTGAATCGGAAGCCAACTTCAGCGTCGTGATTTGTTGTCATTACTTCTTCACTTTAGGTGTGTTGTTTGCCTTTTGCAGTAACGACATCGCCCTTATCAAGCTGTCTTCCCCCGTCACCTTCTCTGACACCGTCATGCCCGCCTGCCTCCCGGCCCGGGGCGTGGTCCTGCCCCACGGCGCTCCCTGCTACGTCAGCGGCTGGGGTCGACTCTCCAGTGAGTCGAAGCCTATTATACATCCATGGTCGAAGCACCTCCACAGAATCAATCTGCGACTGCATTGCAAATGTCCTCACTGGACTTATTGAAAGTCTGCTAGAGGTGTTGAGTCAGGGTTTATGCACATGTCACTCAATGTAGGTCAAATGACTGGTGATGTCAAAGCCAAAGACATTTCACAGCAATTCATTTGTCAAAAAGATTTAACTTATCAGCCTGCTAAGAAATCTCAGTCCTAACCATACCTCGTGTAGGGATTCATTTACTACCAAAGTACCAATTAAAAAGATGATCAGCTTTTTTAATTAAATGGTGTGTAAATTAATAGAGAAACCAATTTAACCAAGATCGTATTTAAATAACAGCATGGTTATGTTTTGACTTTAACCACAACTCTTGTTTTGAAAAGTGGGAACACTCCCAGTTCAAGCAGTAGGCTTGATGTGTTCCAACCTCTATGGTTCCAACAAGACAAAATAATAAACACAACCCATGCATTTTATTGGATTTAGTTTTACATTAAAATGCTCTGCTTACTGCATTTGACATAGATTGTGTCATACAATAGAAAAGCATGCTCTTTTTATCATTCAACAAGAAGACATGTGTGATGCTCATAAGCTTCTAGTAGTTTTCTACAAGGACCTGGACACTCTTTCCCCATTGGAAGAGTGTAAACATTTAGTTAGAAGTTCCCACTCAGGGGAGAGTTTGTTTGTATTAAAGCTGTAAAGTTACACACTATACACAACTAGAGCATGATCCAGTTTAGCATGGGATAGCATTAGTTTTGGTATTAAATGAAATCATCTTACTCTCCCTTTGACACTATCAGTAACAGCAACACATGATCTCCCACCTGTCCCCTGAGCAAACCTCCCTTTAGAGCTAAATCTAATTTCCTACCTGAGTTAAGCCTGTTTGTGCCCACAGCCAGCGGCCCTGCAGCTGACCTCCTGCAGCAGGCTCTGCTCCCTGTGGTCGGACAGGAGACCTGCTCACTGCCCGACTGGTGGAGCGTCCTGGCAACGGACAAGATGGTCTGTGCCGGGGGGGACGGCATCACCGCTGGCTGTAATGTGAGTTCACTCAGGGAAGTTGAAGATTAAACCGGGTTACTACTGTTTTCTAGAGATGTTATAGCAGTCAGTGATTGCACCATTCTCTCATATGTTCCTCCACTCATTGTTATGACCCGGCTTCTTATTCAATATGGTCCAACTCTTTCAACAATGCCTAAGACACTTTTGGAACCATTGCTCCCAGAGTTGAATAACAAACCCTTTTCCTTTACAGTCAAAACAAGTAGGCAGCACCTCAATTTTAACTGGCTGAATCTAACATTACAACTCTAGAGGGAATATTTTCCATTTACTCTCATTTTAAGATTGGTCAACCGTTCCTGAGCAGTTTCTTGGTCGATTAAAGCAATGAGTTATGTCATCTTTAACGTTTCCATTTAGTACAGTTTCAAAGACTCAATGAAAGGAAGATTAAAGGAAAATACTTTTACTTTGAAAGAGTGTAAAATAACAGTTCAGCATGACTAAAGTGAGCACTGGAAGTCGTACCTTTGTAATGTCTGTACATTAGCTGCTGTCCAACAGTGTGTGTGCTGACCTGCAGGGGGACTCTGGTGGGCCCCTGAACTGTCAGAACCCCGATGGCTCCTGGGTCGTCCACGGCGCCGTGAGCTTTGGCTCCGGTCAGGGCTGCAACGTTCTCCAGAAGCCGACAGTCTTCACTAAAGTCAGCTCCTACATCGACTGGATTAACACAGTGAGGAACACTTTCATTTTGTGATTACTTGCCAGCATAAACAATGTCACCTGAAGCGAACAAAAGCCTCGGATTTCAAAAACAGGAAGTGTATTATAATTGTGTTTTATGTTGTTTACTCTGCAGGCTATGACCAACAACTGAAGGAGCTATTCCAGTGATTCCGTCAGCAGTAAGAACAACAGTGATTTCTCCTTTTCCTACTGGCAAATAAAATAAAATGTGCTTTTCTTCAGTGCAACTAAGTAAGAAATGGTGGCTAAATGGAGGATTATGGTAACAAGTCAACTGTTGAGTAACCACGGCAAAATACGCTTCTTAAACACATTGATTAATTAACAAATACTTCCTTTTATTTCTCATTCAATATTCATGAGATACATTTTAACTCTTCAGAGAAAAACTCTTATTTTCCACAAACAAATATAGAATGAGCATAGAAAAGCACATTTTCACAGTACATATAAAAGAAAGATTGAAGTAGTAAAAAAGCAATGATAAATGAACTGACAGCATGTGTTTGGGACACTCGTCTATGTAAAACAGAAAGTGACTTCTAAATGATTTCATCAATGTAAAACATTTTGACTACAGTCATATAAAATCAATCATGTAATGAAATGGTCTTTTACAAAACGAGGTACGATGAATATGTCGGCAGTACTGAACATGACAAAAGAATAAAGGCCTGGTGAATGTAGCCATTGAAAGGCTTTTCTCACGGACTTGGCAATATATAATACGACCAGCTGTAAATGATTGAGGAGCTTTTCTGCATTAACTACACTGACTTTGACTCAAACACACAGTGTAGATGTCGGTGATAAAGTCACTAATGAAATGGGGCTTATATATCACACAACAAAAGAGGAAACAATGTTTAATGATACAACTTCATAACATTTAAACTCAAATCGTAGGTTGACAGGTAATAATGAAATAGTGCACGGTTTTGGATCTCAGGCCACTTTGTCTTTTCTCTGCTCATTCTCTGCATACTTCTGAGTGAATTCATTCACACTGTGGTTGGAGCAATGGGGATGAGCAAGTGAGAGAGCAATGGCTGCTGTTGTTATGTTGCAGCTGCACAGTCAACAAGCTTTTCTTTTCTTTTTTGACTACGAAATAGAAAGCGGGGAGAGAAGCAGAGACTATACTTCTGCCTTCAACGGCTCCTTCCATTATGCTCTCACCTCCTTCCTTCTCTTTTTAAACACTGCATTGGAGGAGCTCAGGTTCAGTCATACAATGCCTTTTCAAAATGTTTTTGGAGAAGCAGCAGAGTTGTTATGAACACAGAAGGCACTTCACTTCAGGGTGTGAAAGTGGAGGGCAAACTCCTGCAGGGGGTTAGCAGAGGCACTCCTTAAAGACTTCATGGAATGAGACCGTCTACATCCCAGAATGTAATTTCTCTTTGAGAAAGGAAGCTATGAGCTGCTTTATGCAAGTGTAAATATAAGAATTCAGCCAATAAATGAATCACAGTCCCCTCCCAGTATCTCACTAACCGTAGTTTACATTTCCTAATGTCTGTTTGTTTGGACACTCACAAACTCTGAAGCTCATTGTTTAGCTAGACTTATGGCTGAGTCTCATGAGAAATATGGAAGAGAACCAAACTAAATGAGTTCATTGTAAGGAGAGTTTAGCAAGCTAAAGTCCAATCTATGTTTCTCAGGAAGGTTAGGAATCAACTTAAATCTAGACTTTCACTGCTCACTTAGTTGGAAACATGTCTCTAATAATAGCATGATAATCTGTTTCGATAGTTAGGCAAAATTGTACTAGCTTGTCAAAAAACATGAGCTGATGTTGGGTTTGTTTAGGCATCTTTGTGCATTCAAAAAGGTCAAAGTCCTTACTACAGCTTTAAGTAAAAATACTATTTCATGATGCATAAATTAGACAAATGACACCTGATTTTGGAACTGCTTAGTAAAGAAACACCCACAACCTTAGAGACATCAGCTTAAGTTCCACACCGTTTTCAAACTAGCCTCCAGCCCATGTACAGCACAGGGTTTAGTCTTTCTAGGGAGAAATATAAAAGCTAGGTTTTCTCTTAAATGTGCTGATATTCAGTAACATTTAAGTGCTTTTATATTCTAATCAAAACAAGTGATATTCTGTTAGCGTTCAACAACTACATTTCGTCAGGCTCTGGTAGAGGGCCTAGAGTCATGGGAGCAGATAGATGCTAACAAAGCTTTGTTGTCTTAGTAGTTTCTTAAATAACGCTGTCCAGTCGATTCCCCATCATTGAATATGTAAACCCTAGTTTCATGTTTCAGCTTTTAAATGAGAGGGACAAAGAAAACCTGAAGCTAGTGTCAACATTGGCCAAAATCCTCTCATTTTCTGCAAAGCTCTAGAGGACAAGGAGAGAATATATTTCTAACTCGGAGGGGGAGTTTTAGTGAGGCATACCACATCATGTCAAGCCAGCTGAGCACATATTACAATGTCAGCATGAAGCGTTCATTTGGTAAACCGCTGGTAGTAATCCAAAGCCAACCGCCCCACGATGTCCTATGATCTCTTTCCCCGTCCACTCACCTCTACAGTCAGCGCACTTTGGACCACCCAAAGACGATGCATAATCAGAAAACGACTTTTGGTGTGTGCTTTTAGTCCAACGTGCCACAGTTTGAAAGAATCTGTCACACTGAGGAAGGTTCCAGCAAGTTTGTGTTTCACTGTCTGTGTGTTTCAGAGATCCAACGTTAGAAACGTATAAAGGTTTCTCTGTTCTGTGCTTTGGAGTGATATGACACGTAGTGATGAGTTAGAACAAAAACAGTGTTTTATAAAAATGTTTCACTCCGAATGTTTTGCAGGAAGAGCCCTCTTCAAGTCTTTTCAAGACGCAGATCCAGTTCCATGAAAGGAAATCATGGAGGATTCCAGGAATGTCAGTAGATTGTTTTAAACACGATCAGCTTGATATTAAATGGGAGGCACTTTATCCTCATACTGCGGTGGAGGGGTCAGCGGTTCTATACTGAACCCAGCTGCTGGCTGAGAGTTATCAATGTTCTTCATTTGCAGCTTCTCAGATTTAATCCTGCGGATCTTGATCGGGAGGAGCTTGCGGTTATTTTTCCCAGCTTTGCGATTTGATGTGGAAGCTGCAGCGGGCGGAGCCGGCTGCGATCCGGGAGTTGTAACCTCCGACTCCTCAAATTCATACTGTACCCCGTCAACTTGGACGAGGTCATCGTAGGACGGCAGTTGGGAGGGGCTCGGGCGGAGGTTGCTCTGACTGACAGGGTACTGGCCGCTGCCCACCACCTCCTCGTAGCTGGGGACAGCGTAACGCTCGGCCTGCTCCTCGGCACTGCACACACACAGAGAGACATGAATGACACGCATGAAAAACTGTGAACTCTGTTATGTCCTGTACTTGATCTTAAAAATGAGAAGGGGAATAATTATTAATACATCTAATTATTATTCCAAATATTTTAAGTGAATTTAATGCCTTCAACACTCATTCTCATTATACATACATTTTAACATTAAAACACTACCGACTGTAAGGAACAACCATCATAGCAAAATGTTAACTTATTTCTTCTAAAAGTGTTATTATTTATGTGATTAATGTAATCTCAAAAAATCGTATTATTTTTCATTTCATTATCATAGCAAAAATGAATTCAATAAATCATTTTTAAACTGCATAGGTGGAATTGGAACACCAATACAAGGTATAGCGTTGGGTATTTTTTTTAAAAGCACTTATTTAAACTATTTGAAAATGCAATGATATTAGGTAAATCGCAAATAATTGATGGAAAAAGTCATGAACATTTCGCAAGCAAAAAGAAAACTTCTGTAAAATATAAAAAAAGTATATCTCTGGGGTTAGGATTAGGGTTAACCACAAAACACTTTTCTAATGAATATCAATGATGTGCTAGCTAGGAGAAATAGTCAAGACTTGTGCACCCATGCTTTGAATTAAAAAGGCTGCTGTTCGACAGCTACGTTTTAAGTCTCAGAACCTCAAAGAGGAATATGTGCTTTGTGATTTGATAAAAAATAAATTAGACCTTGTTATCAATATCATGGATTATGGATAAAATCACTCATTTTAATAATGCTCTTAAAGTAAAGTAAAATGTTAAAGATCATTGACGCTTGTAAAATAATCTGTTAATAATAGTTTTGACCAAACAAAATAATATTTAAAATAAATAAACAAATCCACCAGCAAAATCTTCTCACGTGCACAGGATTTGCAGTTGGCATAAAAAACTGTTGTTTAAGTAGAAATCGATGACTGGACTCACGTTTCTCTCTCAACCTGCTCCCGAGCGGCCACTCTGTGGCTCTGAGCCTCCTGCAGCATGAGCTGCTCCCGCTGTTTGTTCCTCATCCCCAGACAGAGGGAAAGCAGCAGCATGACCACCCCGGAGCCCACCAACACGAAGGCCACGGAGGACGCTTTATGTTTCCTCCCGCTCGTACCACTGCCCTCTCCTGAACCGCTGCTGCTGCTGTTGTTGTTGTTTCCAGCCGCGTCTACAGGTACCACGCTCCAAACAATCATCACAATGCCCAGGGCAACAAGCCCAACGCCCAGAGCACAGAGTGCATACTGGGAACCTGAGTTTCCAGTGTTTTCACTGCTGCTGCTGTTGTTATTGTTGTTGTTGCTGCCAGCAACTCCTCTTCCAACGGCGCTTGGTGGAACATCCACAGTGGAACACATCTTGTCAGTCCCAAACTTTCAGTCAGACCAGCTTGCAGGGAAGTCAAAAGCTGTAGAGAGAAGTAAATGTGAGGTCAACACAAACTTAGAAACATACCACAGAATGTAACAGCAACATGATGACTATGTATGACTCTCTTCAGCCCAGGTATAATGAAGAACAGATCATGTTGCTGCCGCCCAGATATTCGTTCTTTATGAGAACCAACCGCTTTTACTGGAAAAATGACGGAACATTAATTTCCCTGAAGTAAAATTACCTTAGTAAAAGGTTTTCTGTGAATAGGTGTGCTGCATGGTAAACAATTGACAGACGATTTGCCTTTCAAAGTCACTCGTTACCCAATGTCCACACATTACAAGGGTAAGAGCTGCTACTGTATGGCCACTGTAAAAATAAAATAACTTTCTTTTTCCATCCTTTAAATCTAATGTTCAGAGCAGTATGTGCTTTCATGTCAATCCAAAGACAAACATTATTAGTTTAACATGAATCTACCTAGAATTGCGACTATCAGTGTACCAGTTGAATAATCGGCATCTACTTTGATAATAGATTAATCTTTTTCATGAATAACTGGCTGAAACTGAATATATTTGATATATTAAAGACAGCCATAAGAGACATTTTAAAATGGGATGGACATTTGTCTGTTTATTATTTAATAAAAAGTAAACAGAATGATCTATTATGGATAATATGATAACCTTGTTAGTTGCAGACCTAAATGTGAATGTTTCACACAGTAAAATGATTCTCAGTAATGCAGAGAGCATGACTTCAGCATACTTGCACATCCACTGCATACTTGGAACACATACAGGCCATTTATCACCGGGCTACCCTGCAGTGTAACTAACTATTGTATCTTTGCAAGATCAGAGAATAGATGAAGACTGCTGGGAGCTGTAAACATAGGTCAGATAAGAAGTACAAGGAAAAAGAGTCTATAAAAGAAACCATGTGATAATTCAATATGACCACTCATTTGTCCCTGAATCCACCCTCAAGGTATGCCAGTTTGTACACTGCAAACATGCCCAGACCTGCTGGGAGTGAGGGGAAAAGCCTGAAGAAAGTTAACACCAGCTCCAATTTAGGAATACCCTCAGTGAGGAATGCAAGGCATGGGACTGGATTATGCACATCATGGCAGCTGCCTGGTGGACACCTATGGTGGACACACACACACACACACACACACACACACACACACACACACACACACACACACACACACACACACACACACACACACACACCCACACACACACACACACCACACACACACACACATCACACACACACACACACACACACACACACACACAACACACACACACCACACACACACACACACACACACACACACACACACACACACACACACACACACACACACACACACACACACACACACACACACACACACACCACACACACACACACACACACACACACACACACACACACACACACACACACACACACACACACACACACACACACACACACACACACAACACACACACACACACACACACACACACACACACACACACACACACACACCATCCCTCAGCAGCCTGTTGAGAAATCCTGAGGAACATTTACGTGAAGTTATCACATATTATTGACCTGTGTGGGGCGTGTAGCTCTGCACACTAAAGGTTATATTTCACCAGTTGACAGGTTTAACAGTAAAGTTAGTAACATGACTTTTCCGCTAGTAAACATCTTATTTCCTCCCACAAAGCCCCATGTACAACATGTAGCTAAAGTGGGATTTCAAGTCGGAAATAGTTCTGCAACTATCATCTGTTTATCTCTTTTCACTCTTAAACAGTATAACCCGGGTCACATGTTACGCTTAATAAACTAAAAGGCAATGATATGTGAGTGTCAAAATGTCAGATAGAATTAAATTCTCATAAGAAACGTTTTTAACCGTTGTTTTGCTAACACATAGCGCGCAGTGTCTTATGGGTTAATACACTGGGCGGGTTGCTTACGTTGACCACAGCAGGGTACGTAAAGCAGCGCGACAAAAACTTTCCAGAACCTTAAAAACTTTGATTATATTTAACTTTTAGTAACACTTAAACCACACAAAAAGTGGTCAATGCAGCGAAGGGGTAAACCGGCTTTACACTCACCTTGGCATCGTTTTGACGATAAGCTACAGATGTGTTCTTCCTCAAAGCAGGGAGGTGTGGCGTTTATTTCCAAAATATGAAGACAATGATAAGTGTGCGTGAAATAATTTGGTCACAAATAAATGTTAAGGGTCAGGAACTTTCCTTGTGTGACGGATGGGCCCAGCAGACAGAGGGAGGAGGAGGAAGAGGAGGAGGAGGAGGAGGCTCACTGCTGCACTTCCAGTTTCTTTAACCCTTTCATTGTCGGGCTTGTCGATGGATGGAGAGAAAGGAAACATGTTTGACATTTTACCAATAACCCATTGGCTGTAGTCCTCTTTGTCTTCAGTCTTGGTCTGCTGACGAAGACATAAGCTAGTTTTAACTTTAAAACACGCCATATGATTTGCATCGAGTTTAACTCTCTTGTAGCGGTCCCTTTATTTGTGCTGCTCTGTAAACAGCCGGGAAAATACACTTCAAGATTTAACATACGGCATCTTTGGACGATAGAACAAAACGCAAAAAATATCCCAAGGACTTTCCTGTACAGTACTATGTAATTTTGCACGAATGAAATGCACCTAAGACACATTATGTGCATGCTCACACATTGTCCATGCAAGACCCCCACAGGACTTTTTCACAACAGATATTTATTTAGCCATAGCAGGAAAAAGCAAGAAAATATTATCAACGATGGGTCTGTGTTTTCAGGGAATAAATTAAACTGCTTATTGTATCAATTTATAGCTTATCACACAATTATTATGATGCTTTTATATGATTCAGTTCAGAATGTGACATTTGAAGTTTTGGCTACCCCTCCTCCACCACTGCTCCTGCAAGAAGGAGAAATCCCCTTGGTGATCGAGGCATCGTAGGGGAATTCTTGGTGATGTACTCATTTAAATACCCAGAGTGGAATATTTGTGTTAGTGTGACAACTATACAACTAGACGGATTAAAAGTGAATGACTCATTCTGACTCACACCCTTGACGTAAAATACAAAAAAGGACAATTGTTGAAAACCAGTGGTTCAAAGCTCTGAGGGTAAGCATGGGTCATTAAGGGTTCAAAATTATCTTGAAGTGAAAAAAACACGTGGTTGAGGTCCCTCTGAACATTTTATATAACAGTCATTTTCTCTCTACTTTCTATTTGTTTGTTTTATAAACAGACACATTTTATTTGGGTCAAATCTCACCACAAAATGTTGAAGACGTTTTTTATGTCCACGAAATGATCTTTGACCAATGACCACGAATAACAACAATCAAGTAAGACTGAAATCCACTGACTCAATGTGTGCTCAGTACTTCCCCGTGCAGTAAACACAGGCAAGTCACTGAGTTGTACATCATACAACGATAATTGTAGGCCTACTACCACCTACTCACTGTCACTCCTTTTGAGCCCTTTGGACGGACCCAACCTCAGCGACCCACCCTGCTGATACAGCTGGTGATTTACACCCAGGCCATACGTTTACACATTGCAGAAGAGTTACCCAAGGCAGTAAAACTAGGCTACACTTGGCCCTGTTGTTTGTCCCAGTGTCCTCCTCTGTATCTGCCTGCTAGAATAATGAGGACTGGTTTCACAATAATGACAAAACCATTCCCAGCCTTTATTGTTCCTTCTGTTGTTCTGGGCAGGTTTTTCTTCCTCTTAAGCTTATGTCTGGTTCCTCTGTTGTACCACACACACACACACACACACACACACACACAATCACACACACACAATCATAGGAGTCAGGACAATGTAGTATCACGGTGAACAAGCCTTGATTACATCTGGAAGTCCTGCCACTGTCAGCCTGTTATCAAATTACGAGATATGTAGGCAACTACAAGGGAAAATGCTCTGTAGATAATCTTGATTTGCATGGTTCAACATGGCGCATAGTAGCAAATATACTTAGGCTATAAATTATGTGGTATTACATTCCTCAATCAATATGCTATGCAGTGTACCTTTCCTTACAAATAAAACCATGTATAACTCTGACATGTAAGGGTTTTATTGCTAGTACATGATGAGCATGTTATTGTATTTTTCCCTCTGACTGTTTCTCTAATAAGTAGCTTAAATCAATCAGGTAGAACTACACCCACAAATGGTCATCATGTTTCCCAACTGTGGGTGGAGAGGTTTTACGTCAAGGTAGCGCAGAGGGTAGCTTTATCACTTGCTGCTGTGTCACCCTTGGCAGGTCACAATAGTCGAGTCACTGTGAGTAAGAGGAAGTTGCAACATGTTGTATTGCAAGGTGGTCCAAATAGATACTTGTGGTAACAGGCCCAACAGGCAGCAGAGAGATGAGATTACTCTTGTGACTCACCGAAATACAGTCGCAAAATCAGTCAAGTGTACAGAGTCAACAACACTCACAAAGGTACTGAGTTTGGTATGGACCCCTCTTTTACATCACAGTTGAGGCAGTGAAGCACACACTCCTCATGCAAATGAGTTCCCTCACAGTTACCCCTTAATTCTTCTAACTAGGAATTTCTAGTCAAATTTCCAGGCTCCGCTTCTGTCCTTAATTAAAAAATGTCCAGTGTTTCTATCACTTCCTCTTTCACACACTGTCAGAGCTGCTCTTAATCATACACTTCATAAGACACAGGTCAGAGGAATCAACTTTTTTGTGACAGTCTTTAAACATCAGCTGTTGTTTATTTGTTCTTTATTTCATTCAGATTCACTTTTCACATACAGTGTTTGCATCCTCACACCTTTCAGCCCGTAGGCCTCTATGGACATACAGCTCTGCAGTCATCTTTTGCTGGCATTGTTAAAATATTTCCCATGTTTACTGCACAGTATAACACATCAGAAGAGGGTGCTACATTGGTTTGGACACAACTGTGTTAATGTGCAAGATGAAAAATGAATATCAAACATAAACCTCTAGATTCAAGAATCTGAAATTCAATTAGCTTTTTTTGACCACTGTCTTTAGCTACATTGACAAGGCATCACATACAGCAGAATTGAATGAAACATGAACAATTTACATAGATATGAAACCTTTTTTTCACTTTGTCATCAAGTATCCGTACAAACAGCCTTGTTTTTTTTAAATCTAATTTCCCTCAGAAGAAACAGTCAACAATAGAAATGTATAAGTCACATCCTGATTCACAGAGAACCATTTACACACAAGAAAATAGAAAAATAATCATTCAGCTTGAGTACTTCATTTTTTTTTTACTCGAGTGTTGGAGAAGGGAAATATCCCCCCCTCAAAAACATCAAAATACCACCTGCCCACAATGACCTTGTTTTTTCCCCCTTTAGCAGGAAATTTGAGAAAAATACTCCTGTCCCATTAAAAAAGTGCAATCTTTCCTTTATATTTTCATCTCTATAAAAAATAACCATCCCATGTCCAGGAGCACATGACAAATGTTCATGATGTCGATGGATATGTGATAAAGCTGACGGCTGGTGTTTCGTCTCACTCTGATGACCTCACACATTGGTGACCTCGATGCTGGTGTAACCGTGGAGAGGGCTTCCCTCCGATCGGGGCGGGGTCTGGTCTCTGCCCTCCCGAGGCAGGGAGCCGTAGCTGCTATGGCAACTCAAGTCCCGCCCATTGCGAGCTTTGGGGCTCAAGCCTGTTGGAGGCTGAAACAGAAACACACATTATTTGAACATTTGAATTCCTTTATTGTCATTGTACAGGTATAACAAAATGTATAAAGCATTTCCTTGTACCTGTAGTGTAGTGTCATTAAAACATACATTTCCATTCCATCAGTCTTATTTGAGTTTTTATCTTGTATTTTGGAAAAGTGACTGTTTTGCAAGTCATAAGTTAGTCTTTGTAATTCCAAAGTCAAGTCTGACAAGTCCTGAGTCCTAAACGTTGAGCCATAAACAAGTCATAATACCTTTTTTATAAAATAAGATACCATTTTTGACACGCATATTTTTCAATTTAGCTATGCGTTTTTCATTGACCAACGCCAAGTTGAGTGATAAAATGTGTGACTAGGGTCCTAATCAGCACTAAGATCCATTCTTTCTGCTCTGAACAATCCTAAATTGTGTTCTTATATCAGAAAGTCATCTGAAATTGAGAGAAAACTCCAATGCAAGTTTCAAGAACAGTACCCCCCCTCCCCCGACACCTTGACAGCTCTCCTCCTCAGCGAGCCTTCGTCATCAGTATGTCGGCCGGTGGAGCTGGGCGGTCTCCCCGGGGAGTTCTGCCGGAGCAGAGCTGGTGGGGTTCCCAGGCCCAGATGCTCGTAGTCCTGCTTGATTTCTGCCCTGCAAGGGAACATGGGAAAGACCAGAGTATTGAGCGCAGCTTCATTTATCTTACACAATAGTTAAGGTATGCACTTATTGTACCATACTGTGCATGGACATGACTTCTATCATTTTTGCTGACCTGTGTATTGCCTGTTGCGTTTAAAAGGATGGGTTTTTTTTCAAGTAAGAATGTCACCGACATTTATCCAACAAGAAACCAGAATAACCCACAGAGCTTTCTCTACCAGTACCCAAGATGTAAGCATTTTTGTTCATCTTTGAATATTAAAAGTTGATTGCTCTTTGAAAGTGTCTACTTGCATTATTATGTTGTTATACCATCATTATATTGGTGACATTAAATGGTATTAAAATGACAATAGTATTGTTTACAGCAGGGGTCTCCAACACGTCGATCGCGATCTACCGGTAGCTCGCAAGCCCTCAATAAGTAGCTCGCCAAGCAAATCCGAAATGTAAAAAATGCACACAAAAAAAAGGGAATGTAATTAAAATAATCTACCCTATGCATAAACGAAACCTCAATCATAGCAAACTCTATCTACTTACTACAACTCTATATCTATCTAACACCCCTCCTCCCCCCACCCCCCATAATGAATATCGACCAATCACGTTCTTGCAACAGTTTACCCCCATATAAAGCAGGTTCAAATAATTTAATTGCATACATGTTCTTTTAGTAAACACTGAAAACGGGTCCCACAGACCCAAACAGCACACAGAGGTTAAAGGTCAGCATATAATAATAATATAATGTTAAAATGTGCTAAATATATACACTGCAAAAAACAAAAAAAGAGGAGTAACAGTAGCTCACGACTTGTTTTATTTTTTGAAAGTAGCTCTCATCCTAAAAAAGGTTGGAGACCCCTGGTTTACAGTATCAGAATCA